TTGTTGCCGGGCCCTTCCAGCGTAGTTTTGGTCCAGCTCCTCCTGGTGCATCTCGCCAGTAAAACACTCGTTGGCCTGTGTGATACACATATTGAATGGCCTGGTGTTGTCTTAGGAGGGCTCTCCTGAGTCGAGCATCATTGTCTGCTTCAATGACTGCTATTGCTGCTTGTTTCTGCAATGTCAGCTTTGCTTGCATGGCCTCACTTGGAGTGAGTTGGGCTGGAGTGAGATCGTGATCCATCAACACTCCTGGAATCCTGGGCTGTGCGCCCATCGCCCATTGGGTGGCACTGAAGCCTTGGACATTGGGAGTATTGTTGATCTGTGGTATCACATAGTTCAGCGCTTGGATGATGCGCTCTCTGTGAGGCATGTTTGGGTCATGATCTGGCTGCTGGCGGCGGTGTGCAAGGAACAATTCGATACCCCTTCGGAGTACCTGGTGCCGTCGTTCCACAATGCTCAGCCGGGTGTGTGCCTGGCCGGGTGAGATTTCCAGCTCGGTGCCGTGATCACTTGCCCAAGTTCTGAGCTGTTCGGATGCCCATCCCCGGTGGTCATCTACCTGTAGGATGGTGGGTGGTCCGAAGTGTCGTGTCCAGCCTCGTTCGATGGCTTGTACGAACTCATCGGATTGTTCTCCTTGAAGGACTCTGGCTGACATGAATTTGGTGGTTGTATCCACAATGCTGAGGACTGGGATTGCCTGTGGCTTCTGCTTGCGGTGAAAGTGGCCTGACGGGTTGATCCAGACTGTGTCTGCCTCCGGTCCTCAAGGTGCTCTTGGATGTCTGTGGTGGTGGTCTGTGTGCATCACAGAGCTGACAAGTGTGTTCTTGTGCTGCATGAAGTATTGATGCACTTGCTTGCTTCTGTTTGAGAATCTTGCACAGTTGAAGATTTGTTGGATGGCCGAGGTTCCTGTGCAATCTCTGTACAGTTCGCTTGGCTGCTGCGAGCTGTGTTTCTTGTAGTCGTGTCAGGATGCCGCTGTTGTTGCCCAGTTCCTCGATGTCATACTCGTCCTCTGCTGTTGCAGGCTGTAGCTGTTGCTCTGCAGCGGCGGCTGTTGTTTGTGGCTGCAGCTGTTGCTCTGTTTCTGCTGGGTATGCCTGTTCATCAGCATCGTACGGCCAGTAGTTGTGATGCATGAAGTCGTACAGAATGCTGGCCCATTCTCGGCACATATTGGCATTGTAGCTGCCGGCTGCTGCTGCGCGGTTTCCAATCATGGGTGAGCTCCCTTCAATGGGAAGGTGGTAGTGCTCGTTAGTGCAGACTCGATGCAGTTGTGCTGCTAACTGTTCATGGGTGACTCTCAGTGTTGTTGGCTTTCGGATGTATTGCTCGTCACCATTGTTGTCTGGCAGTGTTGCTCCATACTGGCACTGATCGACGTGTGCGTCGTAGCCTTCTAGCTGTTGTAGTGTTGGTGTTTCCCACGAGGTAGCGTACTTGGGGGGTTCGAAGATTGAGATTCGATCTTGCTTGTATTGCTTGTTGTGTATTGTCTTGCTGAACTGGCGTGTGATGCCAAGGCTTGTTCAATGGTCATCTTGTGGCGTCGTGCCATGTGTTGCTGGTGGACTCTAAAGCTTCTGACCAGTTTGTCGGTCAGTGTGCGTCTGTAGCAGGTGTTGGTGTCATCATCGTCATCCTCTGGGTCAGAGGTCTCGTTGCTGTCTGCGTCGATCTGTTGGTTCTCCTGTGTGTGCATGGCTTATTCCTCCTCCAGGTTCGGGGGAGGGAGACCAGTGAGCTCCAAGTAGTGCTCGAGTGTGTAGGTCTCTGTTGTTGTCGTGCTGGCTTGTTGTGTCACTGCTTGGAAGGTCTCTTCCATCATGAAGTCGAACTCATAGGAGCCGTCCTCAGGGATTGACTCCAGTCCTTCATCAAGTTGAAGGAGATGTTCTCCACGAGGGCCCATGACAATTTTCTTCCATGGGGAGCCGTTGACGCTCATGGTGTCCTCAACGAAGTTCAACTGAATCTTCATGGCCTTCAAGATCGGTCGGCCGATGAGCAACGGCGTTGAGCCGGACACCACAAATGCTTCGGCACGGCCAAGGCGGCCTTGCACGCACACAGGCATGTGCACGGTCCATTGTGCTTCCATTGTGCGATCACCTCCGAACTGCATTGCTTTGGTGGCAGGTCGGAACTTGAAGCAGGAGACGTCGATATCCTTGTGGAAGTGTTCGATGTAGTTCATCAAGGTGTCGTGGCCCAGAACCATGCAGCTGGTTCCTCCATCCATAGTTCCAAAAATTCCCTTGGGGAGTGCTTGGAAGTCCTTCATTTCGAAGTTGACCATGAGTCCTTGTTCAGGCTTGCTCTTCTTGGCAGCTGATGAGGTAGGACTGGATGTAGGGCTACGCTTCTGAGTGCATCGCGCTGCAAAATGGCCTGGTTGGCCACAACGGAGGCAGGTCTTGGTAGCCGAAGAGCTCGACAGTGCTGCCTTTCCGCGGCTTTTGGCATCTCCCTTCTGAGGTGTGGAGGTGCGATGAGCCTTGCCTTTTCCACCCTTGTAACCCTTTCCTTTTCCACGAGGTGATAGAGGTCGTTGCGAAAACGATGGAGTCGATGAAGTACCTTGGTCAGCCAAAGCGACGACCGGGTAGAAGCCTCTGTTATTTCGAAGCTCAGCGGACCGTCTTCGTGCGTCCAAGTAGGTCGCGTAGCATTCTTCCCATTCAGGGTCCTCATAGTCAGGGTAGTCGTCCTCGTTGTAGAGGAGCAGCTCATCATCCTCAAGGTCGTAGGTGTCGTCACCCTCATAGTGGGCATTCTCATCATCAACGCTTTATTCAAAGCCGAAGGGATCTTCTTCAGCTTCATAGGCCTCTTCTTCATAGTTGTCCTCATCGTAGGTGGTGTAGGCCTAAGCTGTCTTTCGCCAGTTGTTATTCTTGCCCTTGGAGTGCTGGTGGTTATTATATCGAAGCTAAGGTCCGACACGTCCTCGGTAATCTTAACCGAAGAGCTAATACATGGCCTCCTCAACCTTACTCTCCTCGAGGGTTACTCCACACTGGCTTTGCACAAATTGTTTCTATTCTTACGTCAAGCCACTGCGCGAAGCATCAACCATCCGGTAACCTCGGGTAGCAACTTAATGTTATGCTTTTCCACTTCACGAAGGGCCTCTCTATGTTCCGCGCAATACGACATGAGGGTTTGGTCGCTCCGGCGGCTCATATTATAGAAGAACCTCTCGAAGCTTCGTAGTTATTCGACGCGGTTATCGTAGCGGAAGGTTTTATCCATAACTTCCATAATCATGTTAAAGCCGTTTTTATCCTCCCTCGCCTTCTCGGCGATGGGTTCCACCTGTTTCCATGCTGTCCCGCTCAAGGTGGTGAGTAGGTTAATCAGACCTTCCTGTGGTTTCTTCTATAGAATTATCTTCTTTTAATACAAGTGGATTCTGGCTCTCCACTCCTTATAATCAATGGGTCGGTTGCCAAAAACCGGGACCCATAAATTCTTTGAAGCGTCTACGCCTTACGAACTTGCCATAGCGCTCGTCAATCTCGAAACAACAGATCAGCAACGGGTCCCGTCAGGGGCTCCGCTACCAATTTAAGGTTAGTAGTAGCAACCCTCAAACAAATCCCTTTCGAAATAAATTTACCTATTAAATAATCGTTCGTGAATGAACAAATAATACGGCCTTTTCCCACCATCGCGACCATGGCTCTAATGCACAGTGCATGCCCACCCATCTAGGATAAACACAAAACGGAAGATTCAACGAGTTCCGATCCAAGTTGCGGGAGTCGCTCAAGCATAGCCTCAGTTCAAATCGACGGCGTCGAATTCACACAATTATTATCCAATAGTATTGTTTTTTCAAAATTAAATAACAAAAAATATTCACAAAATGCATTAAATATATATTAATTAAAGAAATCTTTATAAATTTATTATATAATTCGATAATTAAAAAAATATATAACAACCTATACTATTTTTTATTTTCGGAATAATTTATAAATTTAAAAAAAAATAATAATATTTTATCTATATTATCGAAAGATGTTAATTTTTAAATGCAAAAATACTACCGAGCAAATTTCGGTAAAGAATATTACCAAGCGGAACTCGAAAACACTGCTCCGGAGCTAATGATTAAGGTCCGGCGAAGAACATTACCATCCGATACTCGCGATTAAAGAAGCGAGGAAGAAAGGAATGGCGGAGGAGGAAGAAGAAAAGTAACAAAGCAGCTGACATAAAATCTAACAACCCTCACCTAACAGGTGGGGAAAAACCATTTCCAAGAAGGATTAAGCATTAGATCAGCAGCGTGGATGGTAGATCGATTATAACTTATAACAAATTTTTATCAAATATTCGATGGTTAAGACTAAGACTTTGCAAGAAATGATGATGCACCGACTGCACCGATTGGATGCATTTAATTTGGTCTGCACATTGATGGTTGGTGCCCCAAGCATCCTCTGAACCATCTTGCGTCAAATAGAGAGAAGGACATCTCGCAGTGAGCGCCAGGCGCCAATACTCCGCTCAAAAAGCTCAAATGGTGTTCTTCTAGTCGGCAGCCCGATTTCAATGGTGCAGATTCGCAATCGCAAAGATTCGCATTGAGCTTAGCCCAATCTGCATAGATAGATAGATTGAACAATGCCAAACCAAGGATGGCACAAGTTGAAATGCCAAACGCCTCCAGTCCCCAACCTCTCACCCTTCATTTTTTTGAACGAAGGCTTTCAAGCTGATATGGGCGGGTTGCGAATCCGTACCCAACTATGATTCATCGCCATTATGTTGGAGGCCATCGCAAGCAGGTTGGAGGCTATCGCTTTTAGGGTGACTTTTTGTCTCGAGCTTATGCTGGGGCTCAGCGTTGGCAGGTTCAGCACTTCCAGCGGAACCGTCAAGCCACGCTAAAGGCATAGGATAGAAAGTCAACGAATGGGTTCAATTTTATCTAGTGGGCACTGAATTTCATGCCTGAAAAATAGAAAATTGACTAATGCTTTGAGCAGGAAACACTTTTTTCTTCCCAACACTTCGCAACAAGCTTCCAAGAAGATTCTCAAGATACCTTGCGGTGAGGGGCCGGGAGGTTTCATGATGGCTTTGTCACAGCCTTAACGATAGCTTGACACGAAGGAAGTCCTTCGCGAAACAATGTCGACGAGCTCTTGCTCAAGAGGCTGCGCCTCGTTGCCCAAAGACCTGTGCAGAGCGAAATTGACCGGCGCTCAGCGTCTATTCCCCTGTCTGGGGGCAGTCTCCAAGTCGTCGAGCATGTTGCTGTTGATTCTTTACCATTCGATGTTGCATTATGTGGAAGAGCTGGCCGTCCTCCATGAAACTTCACTAGAACCTCGAACAGGCCTATGTTTTGCACAACTTGCAAATGAGCTTCCCAAATCTTCCCAACTTGCCTGTTTTTGTACCATTTGAACCTCGCACCTCGCCAAGGTGGCAACACCAATTTGGGCCACTTGATAGGTGGATCACTGATGTGATCCCAAATCCAAGACTCAAGGAAAACCTCATCCAAGTATTTGTCTTTTTGTTCTGTCTTTCTTTGGGCCTCCGTTTCTTTTTATGTCCGTGGTTTGATGACGATTTGAACCACTGCCTGCTATGCTGATTTCATGATCACATTGCTTTGGCACACCTTCAGCTGGATGCCCAAGCAGTAGGAACATTGGTGCATTTCCCGCTGGAGCCTTCCTAGGATTTCGGACATTTCTCACTTGATCACATCACAATGATGAGTCTGGAAAAAAAGAACGTCTCAGGTTAGGCGAACCATAGTTGAAAGCCCCTCCAAACTACTAGCAATTGCCTCCAACCTAATAGCAATGGCCTCCAACCCAATAGCGATGGCCTCCAACCTAATACCGATGGCCTCCACTCCAACCAAATAGCGATTGCCTCCAACCCAATAGCGATGGCCCCCAACCGGATAGGGATGGCCTCCAACCGAATAGCGATGGCCTGAAACCTAGCAATAGCAAACCGGGCCACCACCAGCTGTATGCCTTGAATTCTCCATCAAGTCACAGTCCAAAATATCGGAACTGGAGCAACCTCGGGTACTTGGCTTCAGCTCTTCTTGGAGAAACTGTACGCACAGCACTTGAGATGTTTCATTAAATGCTTATTGTCTAGTAGTAAGGCACTTGTTTCTACTAGCTTCTTGTTACTACTAGTAAGGCACTTGTTACTAGAAGCGATGCACTTGTTCCTAGTAGCGTTCTGAGGGTCCAGCAGGGCCTCATGAATCTTGAAACGTCAAGAGATTGAAATGTCAGCACTCAACCGTATTGGGCAGTGAAGCAGGCCTTGGTCCGGTGCTGGGAAGCACAAAGTTGAGAAAAAACAAGTGAAAACCGTTCCACGAGCAAAAGCAATTCACCTGACATTCCAGGTCCTAAAGGAATCTTTACGGGCACAAATCGAAGACACAATAGGCGTGTTTTGCGTCTGTGTTTAGTTCAAGATAACTTATAACTTGATTTGTCATGAAATCCTTAAAACCCATTGTCTCTGCTGCATGGGCACACCATGAACAATTACTTCAATGAGACTGCTACCTGCTGATACGGGTGACCTAGGTTCAGAGCCAATGAACTTTCCAGCCCGCAAAACAAGAAAACTGCGAACAAATTAATCGAGATTGCGACGTCTCAGCATCTGGTCGTGACATATCGTGTCATGGGGATGTATTCTATCTCCCAACCTAAAGCAATCACCTCCCACCTACTAGCGATGGCCTCAACCTACGAGCAATGGCCCTCCAACCTACTAGCGATGGCCTCCAAC